CTCCTCCTCCCTCTTCCCCTCCTCCTCTCCTCCCTCCCCTCCCTCCTCCCTCCTCTTCCCCTCCTCCTCTTCCCATTCCTCCTCCTCTTCTCCCCCTCTTCCTCTTATTCTTCTCCTTCCCTCTCTCCAACTCAACACTAGCTTACTCTGTCCTTGTTGTGGTGACCATCCTCTTCCTCTTCCCCTCTCATCTCCTCTCTCCCATTATCTTTCTCCTCCTCCAACACCAACACCAGTTTTCCCTCTCAGTTGAGGTGGTGAAGCTGTTTGTCAGGAGGTTCTGCACTTACTCTCTGCCACCATCTCCCTCACCACCACCACTCCTCCCCCCTGCCACTACCTCCCTCATCAACACTCCCTGACGCTGGTTGTGATGGAGAATCATTTGTCAGTGTGATGCCAATTCACCCCACCATCACCAACAGTGTGTGTGTGTTAGTGTGTGTATGTGTGTGTGTGTGTGTGTGTGTGAGATTAACACCATGGAGGTCAGCCGTGTCTGTTGCGTCACCAAAAGCTGATCACGCCCATTGTATCAATGGCCGTCCACAGCGACACGGCTCCGCCCAGAGCATTACCGCTCCAGAGCATTACTAACTCCGCCCCAGCATTACTAACTTCGACCACAGCAGTACTAACTCCGCCCGTGTTACTTAACTCCGCCCACAACATTACTAACTCCGCCCACGGCATTCTACTCCGTCCACAGTATTACTAACTGCACCCACGGCATTACTAACCCCGCCCACAGCATTATTACTCCGTCATAACATTACTAACTCCGCCCACAACAATACTAACTCGCCCACAGCATTACTAGCTCCGCCCACAGCATTATTAACTCCGCCCATAACTTACTAGCGACCACAGCATTACTAACTCCGCCCACAGCATTACTAACTCCGCCACGGCATTACTAACTCCGCCACAGCATTAACTCCGCCCACAGCATTATAACTCCGCCCACGGCATACTAACTCCGCCCACAACAATACTAACTCCGCCCACAGCTTACTGGCTCCGCCCACAACATAAGTAGTCACGCCCACAGCATCACTGACAGCTCCTCCCCACTGTCTCCCTCTTCTGAATGGCCTATTGAACCTAGTGTCCTGTGTTGACTCTTCGTGCACGCCCCCACCACGCCCCACACCCCCCCACCTCCCCCCACACTCCCCCGCCCCCACCCCACCCCCGCCCCTACGTTCCTCACCCATCACCTCCTCACCCCGCTCCTCACCCCAACACCTCCCCTCACCCCCGTCATTACCTCCCCTCACCCCCCAACACCTCACCTCACCCCGCCATCACCTCCCTCACCCCACCATCACCTCCCCTCACCCCCGCCCACCTCCCCTCCCACCCCCAGCACCTCCCCTCACCCCCCATTACCTCCCCTCACCCCTCATTACCTCCCCTCCCACCCCCCATTACCTCCCTCCTCCTTCATCCTCCCCTCACCCCAACACCTCCCCTCACCCCAGCACCTCCCCTCACCCCCCCACCCATTACCTCCCTCACCCCAACACCTCACCTCCACCCGCCATCCCTCCCCTCACCCCGCCATCACCTCCCCTCACCCCACCATTACCTCCCCTCACCCCAGCACCTCCCCTCCCCCACCATTACCTCCCCTCACCCCACCATTACCTCCCCTCACCCCCCGCCATCACCTCCCCTCACCCCCCACCATTCCTCCCCTCACCCCCAGCACCTCCTCCACCATACCTCCCCTCACCCCCCAACACCTCCCCCCTTACCATCCCTCCCCTCACCCCAACACCTCCCCCTCACCCCACCATTACCTCCCCTCACCCCCACCATTACCTCCCCTCACCCCCCACCATTACCTCTCCCCTCACCATCACCTCCCCTCCCCCATTCATCCTTGCCCTAGTCTTATCAACAGTGTATTAAAGCAGTGCATATGTTTTATTGCATCATTTCGACTAACGTGTGTCATTCTGTCCCCTCCCCTCCCCTCCCCCCCTCCCCTCCCCTCCCTGACTCTCTCCCCTCACTATTCGCCTCCTTAACCCCATGCCTCTTCCCCCTCCTCTCCCAGCCTCCTCCCCTCCAATTCCATGACCCCTTCCTTCATTCTCTCCCTCACCTCC